TACATCTACCTGTGTGAATAGTTTAACTTACACGTACATACATCTACCTGTGTGAATAGTTTACCTGCACGTACATGCACCTACCTGTGTGAATAGTTTACCTGCACGTACATCTACCTGTGTGAATAGTTTACCTGCACGTATCGCGATTTCCATGTTTTAATATTTAACCGTGTTTATATCTGCCAGCACGCATTTCAACAATTCCAGTAACACTAGTGTTTCTGGTTACACTTTAGAGACGGGAAAGGGAAGGGTCCTAGAGGGCGGGGAGACGGAGCGAACGCGTACCCTTTCTATGCCGCTCTCTCTCGCGTGCTCTCACGCCCTTCCTCCCATCCTCTCTTCATCTTATATAGATGGGGGGAAATTACAGACTGCTGCATGCAGATCATAATGCAACAGCAGCTAATAGTGGCCCTGAGGTGCGCGTAAAGCTATCTGTCTACAGATGGCCGGACCATAAAGCAAGCAAGCAGCATTCTCAGAACCGGGGGCTGAAAGATGCCCACAAACCGACCTGTGCGCTCACGTTGCGTGCGCGTGAGTGCGTGCGTGCCTGAGTGCGTGCGTGCGTGCGTACGTGCGCGTGGTTGACATTGTATGCGCGCGCGTGTGTGTGTGTGTCTGCATGCGTCTGCGTGCGTGTGTGTACGTGTATAGTAGCACAGTCTGCGTGGTGTACGTGTATGCGTGTATATAGTAGAGCAGACAGCCTGACTCCGCGAATGACTCCATTATCACAGAACACGCGCGAGCTAGACATTTATTATTCGCGGAATATTCAAATCATAAAAGCCGATCGGTGATTGATGGCGTGTGGGCGTGGTTTAGTGAGTCACTCCCAGGGGGCGCTACTCGATCGCGGGGTGACGCAAGCGTTAGTAACTTCATGCGTAAATGATTCTGCGAATGCGTTTTATGCGAACACCGTTCCTCCCTGCTTGCCTCTTCCCTGCCCCACCCACCACGTCCCTGCCCCACCCACCACGTCCCTGCATCCAGCCCCGCCAGCCCCTGCCGCTAACTACCGCCTCCCTGCCCCCAGCCACCTCCCTACTCCAACCCACCTCTTTCCTGCCTTCACCCACTTCCTCTCATCTTTCTTAATGCCTCCGCAGCACGCACGCACGCACGCACGAACGCACGCGGGTGCTGATGCAGCAGTGCAGTAATGATCGCGAAAAATGCCGCAAACGCTCGTAATTTACACGCAGATAATGAAAACGTCGGACGAACGAAGAAATTAGCATGCCTGGCGACTGTCGCACAGCGTACTGCCAGCTTGCTACCATGCAATGCTACCATGCAATGCTACCATGCAATGCTGCCAGCTTGTCATACTGCCAGCGTGCACCCTTACAGCTGCCAGCTGGCTATGCTGCAGGCTTTACCTTGATGCCAGCATGTCCTCTTACCAGCTTGCTCGCAGACAGAAGAGCAGAGCTTCACCGAACAAGATGAGAAGGTGCGTGCCTGATGCCAACATATCGCAATGTAGTAGAATTCATGTACAGAGAGAGAGAGAGAGAAAGAGAGAGAGAGAGCTGGTAGGCGTGTACTTACAGACTGAGCAAGGTGAGAGCTGGCAGGCGTGTACTTACAGACTGAGCAGGGTGAGAGCTGGCAGGCGTGTACTTACAGACTGAGCAAGGTGAGAGCTGGCAGGCGTGTACTTACAGACTGAGCAGGGTGAGAGCTGGCAGGCGCTCATCAAACTGTGGCATCTCCACTAACGCGTTGTAGTTGAGCTTGCTGAAACGGAAAATTTATTATTATTATTATTATAAAGTATTATTATATCGTATTAGCCCACCTACTTATATCACTGTCTGTCTCTCTCTCTCTCTCTCTTCCCCCTCTCTCTCCCTATCTACCTCTCTCTGTCTCTCCGCTTATATATATATATATAATATATATATATATATCTTAATAAACATAATCTCCATATCACAAACCTCCACCACAACCACCACCACTACCTCGTTCTGGTCGTTCTATTTCCTTCCTACCTACACTCTCACCCTCTCCTCCCCCTTCCTTCACCAAATCACTCTCCCTCATCTTTCGATCGATTCTCTCTGCCAAGTTAATTTCCTTATCTCTTCAATCCCACCTCCTTCTCTCGCTTTCTCGTACACGAGTTATTTCCGGCAGCTGACAACAGATGTTGTATGCCCAGAATAGCCACACAACCCTACACTTGCATTGCACACACACACACACACACACACACACACACACACACACACATTGCCCCATCCGCTTGTATAAAGTGTGAAAAGTATATCCGCCGGCATGAGCAATCGCATTGCAAAAAACTCTACACGTCATCAGTGTGTGAGCGTCTGCTGCCGCGGTTGCCGTGGTTGCGGATGCAGCGAGCATGCGCGCGCGGCCATGGCTTCCAATTCAGAAGCTACTTCTTAGTTCCACGCAGAGGGATGGATGGACAGACGATGGGGTCAAGCAGGCAGGCAGGCAGGCAGGCAGGCAGGCAGGCAGACAAGCAGGCAGGCAGGCAGACAAGCAGGCAGGCAAATAGATTGGCGCTACCCGCTGCGCGGCCAGACCACCAGCAGACCAGAATACATTCTAAGATTAATGACAGAATTAATTGCGAAATTAATGTCCGCGACTAATTATAACGAATGCGCACGAATGCATAATTAAACCCAGCGAGCGCATCTCTTTACCCGGCAACCGCGGCCAGTTTCCCATATCGGCTGCGACATTTATTCATTACGACGGGATCCGGTCGTCTGACAGGCGCCACCTACTGGCAAATGATTGCAAGGCGTGGCGCCATCTACTGGTCATCAATTAAACGTTAATGCATCTGACTGGCGCCGCGTGGTGGCGTAACCCCGCCAGACAAACACGAACATAAAATTACATAATTAAAATATCATTATACATAAGTATGAATATATAAATAACAAAGTTAATTTTTACTCAACCGAGCAAGTTTGAAACGTACCGCTGATGTTTCGCCTCCTGCCAGGAGGCTTTCTCAAAGCAAACTGATGTGAATCAGTTTTGACCACCAGATGGTGTGGTGGTCAATAGCTTAGTCCACACGTGACTAAGCCTGTACCCCACCTCGTCCCGGTTGATGTTTGGGGTCTTGCGGATCCAGATGGCCTCCTTAATCCAGCGCCTGATTTTGTTAGGCTCGCGATTGATGATCTTCGAATTCTCCCAATCGATGGTGTGGTTGTCCTTCGCTACATGATCAGTGATCGCGGATTTGGTGATTTCAGTGTGTGTGTGTGTGTGTGTGTGTGTGTGTGTGTGTGTGTGTGTGCGTGTGTGTGTGCGCGCATGTGTATATATGTAAATACGTGCGTACGTTTGTCAGTTAACCTTATCTGTGCACGCTGATACAAACGAATCATCTTATTGATATTTAGATTTAACGATCACGACACTATATCGCCCCTCGTTTTATCATTTCTTCATGCAAAAAATTGTTCAACCGCGTTCAAATTCCGGCGCACCACGCCAGTTGTCGGCCATTTTTGTTTTGGACACACACTTACAATTTCTTTTAACCATCCCGTGACGAAAAGATACGTATCTAGCGATCCTCTCTGTGATATTTGGCTATTGGTACTACCAGGATATATATATATATATTGATACCAGGATATATTGATACTACATAATGACAAATAATGACAAAATATGACAAAATATGACAATGACAAAATATGACAATTATTAAGCCCTGATACTACTTACATTTCATGCACAAAAAAACCTCACAACAATTTTACAATTACATTATCGTTTTACAAGTACAATTACAATTCCATCGTGTAGTTGTTTAGCGGCCGGGGGCTGCAACGCCTGGTGAACGATCGGTTTTTAACAATAATTACATAGCAAGAGTTTACAAGCATTACTAACTCCCGTCTATGAGCTATTAAATCCACTAATGACATCCGTAAGTACAACCTCTAACTATTCGTTATGACCTCTAATTAAAATCCTACGACATTTAATGAACACGAAGAGGGCATTTTGCGATGTACACGTAAAATCATTAACATATATACTGCAGCTGAGTTTTTAATTCAGTCGAAAAGGATTTCTTCCTAGCGCAGCCATCCTCATGTTTTTCCTCTGTAATAAAATTCTTACCGTCACGCAGTAATTGCATGCATGCAATATTTCTACGTGCAGTCAGTGAGATTTTCACAGTATAAACTTGCCATTAAGTAATGTGATCTCGTCTAGATACTATTCGCGCATTCGCCAATTTAAATATTATGAAACTAAAACACAAACTGCGTAAGTAAACGTCCGCACGGGGAAACTCTCGCAGAATAAATTTCACATCAAATAAAATCATTCTGCCTCGAGCGTTCGCTCGTAACTCTGCAAATTCTAACTTTCTGCGCAACAAAACCACCGCAAACCACCGCAAAAATATTTGTTTGCAAAACGAAGAAAGCCTGCGTTGATATTATCAGAATAAATTTCGCATGAAATAATATAATTCTGTTGCCCCCCCCAGCTCGTAAAATTCTCCACTCAAAACATTTCATAACGAACAGCGGTCAACGGTGACGAAACGGTCGCCGTGAGGGGGCCGCAGGTTGGCCGCTAGACTCAGCACGCTATATAACCGTTAATCAAGCGATCAATGTCAGATCTCGTGCGCTACTGTTAGCTAAATGTTCACACGTTACCCGCTGTGTCTGCTACAGCCTCTTCTTCATCCCAGACGCGTTTAAATGCCGACTGGCAGCGATTGAGTGATTTCCGGGTTTACTCATGCAGTCCCCTTCCTCCTACACCGTCAGTACCTACTGGCAGGTACTGGCATACCTGACAAGTACTGGCATACCTGACAGGTATTGGCAAACCTGACAGGTATTGGCATACCTGACAGGTACTGGCACACCCGACAGGTATTGGCATACCTGACAGGTATTGGCATACCTGACAGGTATTGGCACACCTGACAGGTACTGGCACACCTGACAGGTACTGGCATACCTGACAGGTATTGGCACACCTGACAGGTACTGGCACACCTGACAGGTACTGGCATACCTGACAGGTATTGATTTCTCCAAACATACATTGACTTTAAGTGCAGGCAGAAAAATAGCTGCAATCTATGCGGTGCGTATTAACCCGAAGGTTACGACAAAGTAAGGCGCGACACTATAGCGTCCATCATTGTGGAAGATCAACATCATAACCACAGGCACTTGGAACGTCTCAATTAAAGTAAGGTAAATAAGCACGAAATGTATTTACTACCAAAGTCTCTCTCCTCTATTTCGCCTATTATTGCCGATAATTACCCGTATCAATGCCGATAATTACCCGTAAATGCCGGTCAAATGCTCATCTGCAACGCGCAAATTTAAGTATACCGCACGCCCGCCCTGTGCACAAACAACATGAATAAGAGAGATAAATGTCATTATGATATGATAAAACTCTCTTATTCATGTTGTTTGTGCACAGGGCTGGCGTGCGGTGTACTTGTGTGTTGCAGATTCAGCATTTGACCGGCATTTACGGGTAATTATCATCAATAATAGGCGAAATAGAGTAGAGAAACATTAAGACTTAGGTAGTAAATACATTTCGTGTTTACATTTTTTTTTATTGAGACGTTCCAAGTGCCTGTGATCATAACCACCTAGTGTTTGACGACTTCAACTTACATACATTTTCGACATACAATTCAACGTACACAACGAACACGATATTTGTACTTTCAAATTCCAATTATCGAGCTACCGCCTTAATTATATTTACACAGTGTGTTTGCTTTTTTTAATGAAATGAATAACGTTTATTTAGAATTCCTTAACGGTAAACGTTTTAATGTTTAGACCGTGTCTATGGTTGCTTGCAGGCGTGCGATCAAACCATGTGTAAGGCTGTCAAAGAACTGTTCGTTAGTGTTTTTACTCCTGCTTCCACTTTTTACTAGTTTTACTTTTCGAGTTATTTATGTTGCAGGGGTGAGATGGTTCGGACAGGTTCATAAACTCGTTCACGGTCTGCGCGTATAATTTCTTAGTTTTTTTTCTGGTTTGGCGTCAGATTACGAGCGCACCTGGACAGATCGAGTTATTATACGTCAGCGATTTACGTGCTGTTCTACGTGCGCGTGCATATATGTGCGTGCGTGCGTGTGGGGGCGTGTACGTTTGCGCGAGTAAGTGCTTGCAAATACGCTGGTGCACAGCGCGCGGGCGTGCGTGCCTGCGTGACCGTCTGCGCATATAAGGCGTACACGCGTGCGTGTGCGTGTGCGTGCATACACGCGTGCGTGCACGCGGGAGCGTATATGTCCGCGCACGCGACAGGCCGCACGTTTGTCCGAGCCGTATCACCAACCTTGCGCGTGTTCCCAGAAGCGAACATTTTATTACCCGACTATTCTCGGATCTCTCTCTCTCTCTCTCTCTCTCTCTCTCATTATTGGTACCGCACACGCACGTGGCCGCGGTACCTCGCACAGAGAGACGCAGCGTGCTGGTTAGTGTGATACGTGCAATGTTGAGGGTCATCCATATCGAACGGAGAACATCCATACACAATGAAAACAAGAGAGCGCGTATCAATTATAAATCGTCCCGCTAATAGGCTATTAATTAATGAAGACGGAAAGAAAGAATTTATCTGTTGATGAATTGTAGTAACTTGTGGGAAACGTACGACAGATAGAGAGCATTTCCCGCCAACGTAACATTACCGGATATATATGTATGTATGACTGT